TGTTACTGATTTTAGCTTAGATTGCTTAGTTTTAGATGGCGTCAGCCAGGTTACTACTTTTCCTTTTGAAATTATGATCTAGCGGAGAGACAAATAAATAAACAGGGAATATTTGAGGAAGAGAGGCAGAGGGAAGGAAGAGGAAGCTAGCTTTCTCACTCTGTTTCTGGTGGTCTTTCCAGGCATTGTTGCAATTTAGCGAACAAAACCACCTCCATTCTGGGCCGGCTGAGTGGCTCACTTGGTTAAGAGTTGGGTTAAGAGAGCAAGCTCTGAGCAACAGGGCCACCAGTTCGATTCCCACATGGGCCAGTGATGCTGCACCTGAGCTGAGCTGTCGCTGAATTGCCAACAGGTGGCAGGATGGCTCAGCTGGTGAGAGTACCTGCTCCTAACAAGACTGCCTGTTCGATGGTGGGCTATGCCCACCCGCAACTAAGACTGAACTCAGCACCTTGAGCTGAGCTGCTGCCCGGATGGCTCAGTGGATAGAGCGTACACTCTTAACAACAAGGCTGCTGGTTCGACTCCCGCATAGGATGGTGGCTACGCCCACCCAACTAAGATTGAACACAGCACCTTGAGCTTAGAGGCCACGAGCTGCCAATGGGAAGCTAGATGGCGATTGGTGCCCTCCACAACAAAGATTGAAGAACAACAACTTCGCTGGTCCCCTTCCGCAATTCCCCAACACTGTTCCCCTCCCCCAATTCCCCAATAAAATCTTAAAAAAACAACAACCTCGCTCAAGAGTGCAAGCTCTGAGCAACAGCAGTTCAAGTCCCGGCCCAAGCTGAGCTGCCGCTGAGCTGCCAACAGGTGGCAGGATGGCTCAGCTAAAAAACAACAACAACAAACAACAACAACAAAACAACAACAACAAAACAAACCACCTCCATTCTAAACAAAATCGGAGCCTGTGGAGTCCTCGGCCAAGAGGAAGGGGCTGTATCATACAGTGACCACTGGGGGGCGGCAGAGGATTGGGTGAGTTCAAACTGGATCCAGGAGAAGCAACCGTTCATTCTTTCTCAGCAACTAAACTTGTGAGTATTCAAAGGCTCTGCGTCACTTGAGGTCTGGCATCTTCTGGGAACCAGGTCAGTATGCATGTAATCGCTGGCTGCACCAACAGAGGTGCAGCGTGTGTTGGTTGCACCGCGCCTGCCCCTCTGAGGATCAGGCTCCCAGGGGTATGGATGTGCTGCCTCTAAAACAGGCTGTGGGTCCCGGGAGGGCTTCAGGGAGTCGGAGAATCCCTTCTGAACCTGCCTACAAAACTCATGGGTCCTGAAGGTGTGTCGGTTTGGAGACTGGTTGCAAACTCCAAAAACCACCTCTGGCAAATGTAAGCAAAGGGGGAATTTGCTGGAAAGTTAAGAGGGTGCTGATAAGACCAAAGAGAAAGGAGGAAAAACTGAGCAGCTCTAGCGGGTCTTGGGAGTGAAACCGATTAGCAGTATCAGCAGGACACCTCCCCCAGAAAGCCCAAACTTCAATTGCTTTCAGTCACTCAGCGCAAGACCCAGAATCTGAGGAGAGTGTCAGAGTGTCAGATGGCTCCAGCTGGGCAGGGCAGGGCAGGGCAGGGCAGGGCAGGGCAGGGCAGGCGCTCCCTCCTGCTTTCCCGCCTCTGTCAGGTTCAGGCCTCCATCTGGTTCAGATGTTGATTGAGCACTCCGGTCTGATGCCCTTTGAGACACCTAGTGGACATTTGAGGGCTGAGGGAAGTGAGTTCTCAATCTATTGTGAGGTCATGGGCTTCTCACTCATGGGCCACCACTCCCGGAATGAACCCCCAAGTCCTCCCCAGGACTAGGAAGCCTTCCTTGTCTTCCCCCCAGTTGTTCCTCCAGCCCCACCCTTACCTTCCACCCCCTGGCTCACCCACCTCCTCCACCTGGAACAGTCTCATTCAGTATGTGAGAGCGCCCACAAAGAGATGGTGTTTAAAACCATGGGAGAAAGGCTATTTCAAAAGAAGGTGGAACTGATGCTGGACAGCAAAACCCCCACAGATGTCCCTTACAGAAGGGACATCCAGAAGGGACCCATGACCTCAAAATAGGATGAGAACTACTCTCTGGTATTGTGCCTTTTGATACAGACGTCTAAAAATTGTTTGCAAACTCATCCTAGAAAAAGTGCTATATACCGCATTGCTGAATATCACTATGGTCACCTTTGAAGTATTCCCCTTGGGAAGCTATGCACTGATGCCAGTGCCTAGTCCACCCTTCAAAGCAATTTTGGAACTCTTTCTAGAATGGCCATCACAACTGTCGTCGTATTACCCTTGATGTCCTGAATGTCATCAAAATGTCTCCCGTTCAATATTCCCTTTATCTTCAGGTAAAGAAAGAAGTCATTGGAAGCCAGATCAGGTGAGTAGGATGGGTGTTCCAATACAGTTATTTGTTTCCTGGCTAAAAACTCCCTCACGGACAGTGCAGTGTGAGCTGGTGCATTGTCGTGATGCAAGAGTCATGAATTGTTGGCAAAAAGTTCAGGTCGTCTAACTTTTTCACTCAGCCTTTTCAACACTTCTAAATAGTAAACTTGGTTAACTGTTTGTCCAGTTGGTACAAATTCATAATGAATAATCCCTCTGATAATCAAAAAAGGTTAGCAACATCATTGCAACAAGTTCATGTACTTAATTGTCAGAGCTTGTATGTATATTCAATACTTTTCACATTACAGCCCAATACCATATATGTATGTATCATACATATGTATATTCTGAAATTAAGAGTATACAAAGCCATGTTTATTTTTATTACATTGACACTCCTGATTCTTTTTTTTTTTTAAGCTGAGCCATCCTGCCACCTGTTGGCAGCTCAGCTCAGGCCGGGAATCGAACTGGCGACCCTGTTGCACAAAGCTCGCTACACTCCTGATACTTTCTATTTCTATCCTGGTCCATTAAAAACTATACTGGTCATAAGCCACTAGAACGATTTCATAACCCACTCGGCCTGCCTTTGGGCACACGGCTCTAGTAGGCCTCTCACCCGCCTTCTCCGACTCACTACCACTTCAGTTCCACCCCTACTGCCCCTACTTGCCCCATCTTAACAAGTACCTAACTGATCCCCTTGTTTCCAGTTCCTTCATGTGTAACCCACCCTGCCAGAATCAGTCTTTCTAAAGCCCAGCTTCGATGGTATCAAAAAATTCTGGTGGTGGCCTCCTGAGTGAGGTTTTCCTTACTCTGCCCGCTCCTCCTCATTCCTCCACGTTTTCTCTCCTCCATCCTGGGAATAGGACCATCTCCCAGAAGCCTTCCTCATTCACTCTCATTCACTAGATGTTTGCCGAGTGTATGCGGTGCTAGGTTTAAGAAACATGAATTTGAGCAAGGCAGACGAGTTATGTCTGCAGCTGGGGTGTGTGTGTGGACACCTCGTATTTTGCTTCCAGAGTCTGTGGAGGCAAGAACATCTATGCATCCCCCTCCCACTCCCCCAACTGTGCCTTATTGAATTCTGACAGGGGGCCAATAGGGCTGACCAGGGACCCAGGCTTCTCTGTCTCATTGCTTTACCATCCTTATGATATGACACCCACCTTGAAGTTGAAGATGGCTGTTAGGACTCCAGTCATCATGTCTGCATTCCAGCCAGCAGCTTCAATTTTTCTGTGTGTACAATGGGGGTAACACCTACCTTGGAAGATCGTCAAAAAAGAGATTGGACCAAAATGTCTATCGTGGAGCTCCTATGATTAGGCAGAACCTCCCAGAGGCTCTTTGGCAGGACTGGGTCCCGCTGTGCGGTGCCTGTGCCCTGGGGCCTTACAGTGGCCCCGCTGAGGGACTTGACAGCCTGTGGGCCTTTAGCAGGTTCCCCTCATCTCCTCTCTGGCTTCTGGGACAGGAGTCCCATGGACATTGTCCTGCTCACTCCCTCACCAGCCACTCAGGCCCCATGGGCAGAGCCTGGCTCTTTCCTCCAAGGACCCTGCCTCCCTGACACCGGGCCTGGCTCACCGAGGGGGAGGGCTGCGGGGGGCTGAAATGTGAACCACAAGAGGGTCGGAGAGAGTCTGAGTTCTGAGAGCCTGGCAGGGAGTCAGCACAGAGTCAGGGGCCAAAGGGGAGGAAGTTTCCCAGGAGCAGCCACATAATTTGTGGGGCCCAGTGGAAAATGAAAATGCGGGTGGCGGGGGGGCTTTGTTAAAAAATTATTAACAATTTCAAAATGGTAATTGCAGAGCATTAAGCCAAGCACGGGCCCTGGAGTGCCCAGCCCAGGGAAGTGACAGGTGATTTAAGTGTCATCTGGGGGCCCCAGGGCCTCTTCCTGGGAGGGGCCTGTGCTGGGGCTGAGGCCAAGCTTCCCTGGGGGAATGTGGGGCACCAGCCTGGCAGCAAGAAGCAGCTTTTAGGGGCGGCTGACTGGTAACTGTGTCACTCCTCTGCAGGGTTTCTTCAAAGTCCTATGAGTCCGTGTCACAGTCCCCTGGGAGGGGGTGGTCACAGCAATATGGATTCCTGGCTCCTACAATCCCACAAGGCAGGCTCTCTGTGGATTGGGCTCAGGGATTGGCAATTTTGGAACAAACTCAAGCCTTGTTTTTAGGGGATTCCGGAGTTTGGCCCCACAGAATAAACCCCGAGAACTGGTGGGTTGCATCAGTGTTGGAGCGTGGCTTTATTCTGTCATATCTGAATGAGCCTAGTCTGTTTACAAATGGCCTTGACCATCCTGGGCTAGAACTGTTTCTTGCCATCTTTGGCCCAGGGCTGGCCTTGCTAAACGAAGCTTGAAGAACCCGCTCCTTCTCGCACGCTCCCCAGAGAGTTGGGAGGATAGTGCTGGGGCCAGGCTGGCTGTCCCAGGCAGGGGGACAGGCTGGGAGTGAAGGCCACATCCTCCAGAGCCACTGTGTGTGTGTGTGTGGGGGGGAGGGGTTGTGTGGAGGCTGGGGTGTGGACTGTGACCCCCAAATGGGTATACTCAATGTATTTATTGCAATGAAAACCAAGAACGGGCTTGGAAGGCTCATGTCTTTACTGTCATTTGTAGTTCCTCCTCATGGAATCCAGCAAAGGACCAGACAGAGCGTAAGGCAGAACCCAGCTGGTACTGGTTACCATATGTGGAAGCAAAGGCAGGCCATTACAATCCATGAACTTCAATGCCTCCCAGCGGAGGAGATGGTATTTAAAGACATTCTTTCTGTCTGATTTCATCTAAGTCTTGAGCTCTAAGGCCAGACAGACACTGTGATCATCACAGACTTTTGGTTTCTAGAATCAGTGCATCGCCTTCTGGTCCTCCCTCCAACCCGCCCCTGCACACCTGACGAGGGTCGAGACATGCACAGCGCTCCTGCTTGACGGGAAGTAAGGCTTTTAAAGGCCACGTGAGTTTACATCAGTACCTTCTGTGTGAATGAGAAAAAATATTGGGGACTGAATATACTGTGATATACACATTCATAAGAAACGTTCTAATAACAATCAGAGCACGAAACTATTGGTATAAACATATTTCCAAAAAGAGAAACTACTGCATTTCATAAGATGGCGCTTCCTAGACCAGAGGTTTGTCTTTCTTCTTTGCAGTTGCTTTGGGGGCAGAACTCCTGCACAGAGCTAAACTAACCAAGTGCAATGTGTTACGATGGACACAGATCTGGAGTTTAAAGTTCAGGGTTGTGCCAGTCCTTGGGATCTGTTTGTCTCCAGAGAAGAGTCTTGACTTTTAGCAGTTCAAGATGGGACCTGCCTGGGGTTACACTGCCTCAGGATCGCCAATTGCAAGGCAGGCGTTTTGGAAGATTCTGTGGAGCTGGCTGCAGGCATGGCTGCTTGTGCAGACTTAGTGGATGGCTGCCCTCTGAAGGCGCTGCTGAAACGCTAATCCTCCCCCGCCCCTCCCCGGCCCCCTTGGAACAGACACGTTCCAGACCCAGCTGTTTGGCTTCATGTTGGCTGTGACCTTGGACAGGACCACAGTCCTTCCCGTTGCTGATAACACTTCTGGTGTTGACTCTTAAAAGACATGAGTGGGCCAGTTTCCGTGACTTGTTTTATGAGCCACAGTGGGTGTGTGCTGCCCACCATCTGGGGACCTTTGGCATCTAGAGCTGGGGCCCCTGTGAGACGACCTCCCTGCCTCAGCATAGGGCAGAACAGGATGGCCAGTCTCCCAGAGGCCACGGGGTGCATCGCAGAGTGTCCCTTCCCACAACAGGGGCATCAGGGCTCCATGGACGAGGCCAGGTGGGACTGCCCAACAGCTGCGGACACCCTTTTCTGCATCTGCCTGAGTTTTAAACATCACGGTGAAAACTGGACCGAGCTGAATGGAGAAGCCCAGTGACCAAGTGCCCACCCACCCTGCACGGCCCTTCCAGCTGTCGGTGAGATGTGTGAACACGAAGGAAGGTCACAATGCAGCAGACGGGAGAACGAGGACAGTCAGGAGAAAAAGACATCCCGGCACTCGGAACCAGGCAGTGGCCTGCGGCGCGGTGAGCAACTGTTTTTCTTCGGGAGGAACAGCGTGACCTTTCAGGGCGTACTGGGCCCAGGACTCCGGGAGTCAGAGGCAAGGTCACTTCATGTGGTGCGACTCCGGGAGTCAGAGGCAAGGTCACTTCATGAGGCATGACTGCGGTGGAGCCTCAGGAGGATGGGCGGGGCCTGGGGAAGGGCCCACTCCCTAGATGCCCTGCAGGGAGTGGTTTGGGTCACTGCGCTCACGCTTCACCAGGGGCTCACCCAGGCTGCGGGCGTCCACATCCACCTCACTGCCCCGGTCTTCGCTGATGTCATCTGCAGGGTCAGAGTTGGGAACAAGGGTCCACAGGAGGGAGGGAAAGACAAGCACATCCTCAGAGAGGTGCCCAGGCATAAACAGTCCTGGGCTCTGGTCTGGGTTAACCTAGTCTTCCCTGGATGGCTTACTTGTGACCTCCCTTGACAAGTGCCCATTTGCCTGTATCACATGCCTGGCGGGTTCCCACTTAGTGCTTTGTCCTCTCAACCCGTAGGGCAAGGAATGGGCTGGGGGTGGAGGCCCTCTGCCCCGCCTACCCCACTTCCCCTGCAGATCCCCCATCCCACCCCACTGCTGGCAGTGGCCTTGCCCCTCAGGGCCGGTGTGGGAGTGCCCAAGATCAGGAGGTGCCACACGCGAGCGGGAGGGGCCAGTTCTGCAGAGACATTGGGACACCTGCTGCCGCCCATGTGTCACCCGCCATCTCAATGCCAACTCCTGAGGTCCTCAACCTGCCCAGGAGTTGCTCCACTTTCCACCAGGCCAAGGGCAGGAGAACCAGCCCCTGAGAGGCTCCTGGGAAAGCCACGGCCACACCTACCTTTGTCCAGCAGTGTCAGTGACAGGGAGGCGAGGTCGTTGAACTGAAAGAGAGAAGCCCAGAGTCAGGGGCCTCTGCAGAGGGGGTCCTGGTGAACGTTAGCAATGTCCACCCACAGTTAAAACAGGCTTTGTTTTGTAAGTGTGGGATTCTGATATGAGAAGTGGCTCCGATGCTGTGTGTCCTCTCAGACACTTTCTGGGCCATATCTGGGAGCTGCTGACTGCTCAGACCAGCAAGGGGACAGGGGCCGTGCCTCTAAATAATGATAATGAAGGAATAGTTGGCATTTAACAAGTGCTTAGTATGTACCAAAAGCTACGTAAGCATCACCTCATTTCTTCCTCAAAACAACCCCACGTGACCCAGCAATTCCACTCCAGGGGAGATATGCAAAAGAATTGAAAATATGTGTTCAAACAAAAACTGGCACACAAATGTCACTGCAGCATGACTCACAATAGCCAAAAGGTAGAAACAACCCAAACACTCATCAATAGATGAGTGAATAAACAAAATGTAGTCCATCCACACACTGGAATATTACTCGGCCATGAAAAGGAGGGAGGCGCTGACACTCGCCACAACGTGGATGGACCTTGAACACACGGTGCTCAGTGAGAGAAGCCAGACACACAAGGCCACACAGTGTGTGATTCCACTTATGTGAAATGTCCAGAACAGGCACATCCAGACAGGAAGTGGGTTAGTGGTTGCCAGGGGCTGAGGTGGGGGATGGGGAGTGACTGTTGAAGATGAGGTTTTTCTTTGGGGTGATGGAATATTCTGGAATTAGATAGAGGTGGCCGTTGCACACTGTTGCAAATATACTAAATGCCACTGAATCATTCATTTCAAAATGGTTAAAATGGTACATTTTATGTTATTTGTATTTTACCACAATAAAACCCCCCAAGGGGTACCATGTTTGAGGCCTCATTTCAGAGGCAGGAACAACCGCCCAGGGTCACAGCGGCAGAGGAGCCAGGATTTGCACTTAGGTCTGTGGGCTCCAGCAGCCAAGCCCCCTGCAGATGCTTGCTCTTGGAGCATCCCCTGTCCACTGCGTCATGCTCAGTGTTCCCATTCTCATCCCTACAGGCTGTCCTGGGCCTCCCCACCTCACAGAGTCCCACAGGCTGGGCCTCGCCACCCTCCCAGGGTCCTCGCAGCAGGGAGCCCCTCACCTCTCCCATCACAGCAATGGGCGTCTCTCCAGTTGCCTCGGCGACGCGGTGCTCCACCAGGTAGAACATGTACTCATCATACAGCAGGCGGATCAGGTGGAAGGAACCGAAGCTGGCGGCGCTGCGCAGGGTGAGGTCTCGGATCACCATGGAGCTGGAGGATGGGCAGACAGATGCTGGGCAACTTCCAGAGGGCACGGAGTCCCGGGCAGGCAGGTGAGCCAGGCTTTTCTTCAACTCTGAGGTTGTCTGGGGACCCCTTAGACCTACAAGGGGCCTGCCAGCTGCCAAGACCACCCCCACGTCCAGGTGTGACTGAGGTGGGGACAGGAAGATGGGAGGTGGGCAGGAGCAGTGGCTCTAAGAGGCTGCTGACAACATAAACGTGACGGTCTCTGACACAAGCCTCAGACACCGCCTTTGGTAAGGGTCTTTCCAGTGCCATTACTGACTCCCTTATAGTGGGCCGCCTTTCCCAGCCTTCCCATATCCTTCCCTTCTCCTGCCACTCCTCAGTCAGTGGTTTAGGCACCTAAAAACAAGACAGGATTTCAGGGTGCTTTCGCCTCTTTCATCTAAAGAAGTGGGTGGCAAACTACAGCCCAAAGCACACCAAACCCAACTTATCATCAGTTTTTGTACAGCCTGCTAGATAAGAATGGTTTTTTACATTTTAAATGGTTGGGAAAAACGTCAAAAGAATTTTATTTCATGACCCATGAAAAGTCCCTGAAATTCACGTTTTAGTTGTCTATAAATAGTTTTATCAGCACACAGCCATGTTTATTCGTCTACATGTTGTGTGCCATGTGCCAATAAAACTACTTATTACTCGAAAATACTATCTGATTCTTTTTAAAAAAGAAAAGTGACCCCTGATCTAAAGGACGTGTATAACATGGCACCCGACCAGAAACCCTGGCCTACAAACACACCTACCATGTAGCCCCAAACACCCAAATGCCCCATCTCAGAGCTCACCTACTGTCAGTGCTATTTAATCACTATTGTAGCAATAAAAGAAACAGGCAGGGCAAGACAGGGAAGGAGACACAACGTAAATACAAACTATTTCAGTAATTAGATAAGGGGGTCATCACACTGGGGTAGCTCTGATGCCTTGAGCCTAGTAAGCAAACCAAAATCTAAGCTGGAGTCAATGTACTTGAATCTGAGAGTAAAATTTACAACCAGTCACAAACAGCCAGTTCTCAAATAAAGCTGCTGGAGCTGTACCTAATCAAATAATGTCCCTGCTTTGCTTAGCCAATCAAACAATGTCCCTGCTTTCTTCAGCCAATCAAATCATGTCCCTGCTTTGCTTCCTCATCTTCTCTATAAACACTTCTCCTTTTTCCTGTGGGTGGAGGGCCCAATCACCTTGGGTTTGACGCTCCCAATCTGAATTGATGTTTGCTCAAATAAACGTCTGGAAATTTTAATGTGACTCAGTTTAGCTTTTAGTAGACTGAAAAATGTCTATAATTTGTGTGTTAACTGAGGCTGCAGGTGAACCAGTAAAGACAGCTGATAACACATCAGTTCATTTAATTTTTTTTCACAAATTCCTGGACCAGTGTGTAGATGCACTCTGAAGGCACTTTTGTTCAGCTGTGGAAAAAGAGCTGGCTTCAGCTGGCTGTGACTTTGAGATGGCTTAGGAAGGGAACCCAGGAGGCGACTGTGTTCAAATTGGCACTTTCAAAAGCAAAGGTCACTTGAAGAACGTTCATTAATGCAAAGGCTATGCTTGTAAGTGGACAGAGTGAAAGGGCTCAGGGTGTGTGATGTTTTCTCTTTAGAAGCTTCTTTGGCTCTGCATGGAAACCCCCGCCCCCAAAAAGTAAACAGGAGAACATGGACTGCAGGTCCCTGGGAAGGAGGCCCTCACTCCCTGCCCACCTCTCACTGTCTCACTCCCTGCACTCCTTTCCCCACTCACAGGAAGCTGTGCTTGGGTTGACATTGCGCCAGCTCCCTTCTCCTGAACGCTGTTTGTCAGCCACAAGGTAACACAGGTCTGGATGCTGCTGACATCTCAGGCTGTTCAAATAATGAGTTTGCTGCTGCTCTATTAGGGGACCACAGGTCCACATGCCTCAGGTCTCATTGCCTTTCTGTGGCCCACCCAGCTCAGTCCCAACCCCCCTTTCCCTGAAGCCCCCCACCTCCTCCTGTGGATCTGGCGCTGGTACTCTGCATCCCCAACTCCCAGCCTTGGTGTCTGGTGCGATGTTTCAGCTCAGGTAGCTTTTCTGAACCATCTCTGTGGTCGTCTGGTATGTTTTGGGTCCTCCACATGGGCTTGTAGCTTCCTGCGGTAGGAACGTCAGCGGGACTCCAACAGGAGAAGTTCAACCCAAGCTTGGCAATGCTACACGAAGCTGCTGCCCACCTGTTTACCGTTTTCTGATGGATGCTACAAAAATAAGTCCCTTAAACCTAATAAAATGAAGTTGCATAGCGTTTCAGTCCTTATAGAGAAAAGTGGCCCTATTTCACAGAGGCGACAACCCTGATCTCAGCCGCGTTCTTGTCCTCGTTTCCACATTTCCACCACTCTTGATCCCACAGATCATGACTTTCCCTGCAACCTCCCACGATGGGCATGGGATTGCGCCCCTGTATGCTGCCTCTGTACCCACAGAATCAGAGGTGCACCTCCTTCCTCATCCATCATCTCAATGTTGCTTCATTGTACTTTTGGGCTAAATCAGCATTTTTTTATGTGGAGATGGGATGTTAAGTTTCCACCTGAGCCACACAGACTATTAGGCTCACATTTCCTTCCTTGTTCATTCACTTAACCAACGTTTAGGTGCCGGGGACACAGCAGTAGACAAAAGCAATGTCCTGGCTCTTGGGGAGCATGAGGAGAGGAGACATACAACAGATAGGCAGACAGAGAACCAAGTCACAGGTGACCATGAGAAAAAGCAGGGCATGGGGACGGTGAGAAGGGGCGTGCTATCACTTAGGGAGGTCTGGGAGGGCTTCTCTGATGATGATCCAGCCACGGTTAACTGGGGAAGGATGTTCCAGGCAGGGAGAGGGCAGTGCAAAGGCCCTGAGGCAGTGAGGCCAGGGTAGAGCATGAGGAGGGATTTGGGAACAGGGAGTTACTGGGCAGCTGGGTGACGGGCCAGCAAACTTTTTTTTTTTTTTTTTAATAAGACCCGGAGAGTAAATATTTTCAGCTTTGTGGCCACATGGTCACACTTCTCTGTTCAAAACTGCTCAACCCTCCTAAGGATCCGTAAATGAATGAGTATGGCCGAGTACCAATGAAATTTTATTTGCGCAGTCAGGTGGAGGGTGACCTGATCCACTGGCCATAGCTTGCCGATGGGCTGGATCACGCACGGCCAGAAAGCCTTAGAACAGCTTTTGTTTTCCTGGGGTGAATTGTCTCCTTAAAAAATGCTCAATTTTCCACGTATTTGTCACTAACTGAGTGAGCACAGTCTATGCCTTCTGGAAGCGCGGTTCTCCTGCTCCCATCTGCACAGGTTAGAATCTCAGTGTGGACACCGTTTTCCTTCAGAATTCTGAAGACGCTGCTTAGCTGCCATCTAGATTCTGTGTTCTGGTTAAGTCAGGACATACTCTTCTGATTCCTAGGCCTTCGATGTGGTCTGTGGCTTTCTCACGGAAGCCTTTCCAACCATCTCCTAACCTTGCTGCTCTGAAATTTCACAGGGAGAGTTCTTGGGGAGGGTCTCAGTCTTTGTGCTGGGAGCTTGGTGGCTTCTTCAATTTGGCAACTGGTGCTCTTCAGTTTTAGGATAGCTTCTTGATTATGTTTTTATTATTTTCTTTCCCTTAAAAAAACATTCCTATCAGCTGGATATTGAACCTACTGGACATTTTCATTTTTCATTCCTGAGTTCTTTTTCTCATTCTTTTTCTTTCTCCATATTTTTTTCTTTCTCATGTTTACTTTCTGTGATGGTTAGTTTTATGTGTCAACTGGTTAGGCTATAGTACCCAGTTATTCAATTAAACACTGGTCTAGGTGTTGCTGTGTTTTGTGGCTGTGGTTCACATCTGTTGACATTAAGTGAAAATTGCCCTCCATAAGATGGGTGGGCCTCATCTAATCAGTTGAAAGGCCTTCAGAGCAAAACTGAGGTTTCCCCTAGGAAGAAGTCCCACCTGTGGCCTACAGTGTCAGCTCCTGCCGGAGAGTTTCCAACCTGCTGGCCTGCCCTGCAGATCTCAGACTTTCTAGGCCTCACAGCTGTGTGAGTCAGTTCCTTGAAATAAATCTTCTTATATATATTAATACATAATAATAATAATAATAATTTCTATATAATTATGATTCACTATAATATATTTACATACATACTTAAAAAATGTATACCCCCTGACACACCTGGCCCTTGGCCCAGTTCTGTTCTGTGGGGACACATGGATCATGGGGCACTGGCGCCTGTTTCTGCCTCCTGCTGCACTCATCAGTGAATAAAGGCTGATGGCTGCTTCCCGTCTGGCTCACTGCCCTAACTGACCACCTCACACCACCTTCTAAACTCTTGCTTGTCATTTGCCATCTGCCGTCATCTGCTCTCCTTGTCTTCCTGTGTTCCTTGTCTTAGGGGTTTATTCCTTTTAGCCACTTCCTTTAAACCACTTTGTGGGGTGTTGCTAGGGAGCAGAAATAAATGCATGGGCTCAATTTACTTGTTTTTCCAGAAGGCCCGATGATGACGATTTCTGGCTGTGGAAGCCTGCCACCTGCTTTTAGGCCCTAGTAGCCGCCCGCCCTCCCTCAAGCCAGGATGAAGCCCCCAGGATGGGCCCTCGTGTGGGGATTCCACCACGGAAGGCGGGAGAATCTCTGGAGCCCCCAGCTCGCCCTCCCAGAGTTCCCTTGGTGATCAGGAGGACTCACCTATAAAAAGACCACTTCAGCAGGAACTGCCGGGCGGCCTTGGGGAAGCTGGGGCTGCCCGCGTGCTGCTTCAGGACCTGGGTGACCACGTTGTCGAGCCAGCGGGCCCACTGGTCCAGGGAGCTCTGCTGCTGCAGGGTCAGCTTGAAGTCCTGTTCTAGCTGCTGCACGACGCTCTCCTCGCACTGGCACACCCACGAGGCCTGCTCCTGAGGGTGCAGGGGGACGGCGGGTTAGAACAGTGTCAGCAACAGCCGCCCATACCAATGCTGCGGGCGGTGCACAGGGACCCCAGCACCGGCTCGGGGCCGGGACTCATGCCAGTGTGATGCCGTCTCGCCCTTGGCCTTTTCCGGCTGCAACTGACTACCGTTAGTACCTCACCCCACGGGGATGGAAGGACCAGAGCCTGCCAGGCTTCTGTGGACTTGAATCCAGGTCCTGGATCCAGAGCTCAGATTACGCCATGTCTCTGTGTTGTTTTATTTTTGAGTGGTCACTCTTGTGAATGTGTTTAGTGGATAAACTCAGGGCAGCAGAATCCATTTGCTGATGGCCTGCATTCTTCTAAGCCCAAAGAGAGAGCCATGAACATGGCAACAGGAAGGCACATTTTTAAAGGAAAAGAACTAGGGTGACAGTCCCGGCACCTGGATGCTAGGAGGACCTGAGAGATCATGGAGTGGAAAACTGGGTTCCCTGGGTGGGCCAATTCCGAAGCTGGTTCATGCAACACAAACTTGCGTGTTGGCTCTGCTGTGGGCTGAATTTTGGGGGTTTGTGCATTTTTTAGGCCAGTGGGGTAGGGGGTTGCCTGCATATCGTCCCTGCTCTGCAGCCCTAGCCCTGAGCCCCCGGCCCAGGCAGTGGGGAGCTCTGCTGGGGAAAGTCACCTGCACGTTGGCGAAGTCCACACGGTTGAGGTCGCTGAGCATTTGGTTGATCTGGGAAGCATTCTGAAGCACTGCCCGGGCCGCCTGTGCCAGGTGGTTGAGGGACGTGTACCTCCGCAGGGTCTGGGCGAAGGCGCTGACCACGCCCACCTGTGACAGAGGACAGCAGGAGAGGATGAGGTGCAAGCATGCATGGGAGTAAATCTGTTCTCTCTTCTTGGAGGGGGTGACTCAGGAGCTGGGCAGGGGCCGGGAAGCGGGACCCACCCTTTGACAGTCTCAAGGACCCGAAGAGGGAGAATCAGTGAAGGACACAGATGTCACCAGCGCATCATGCGGCATCTACAGCAGATGCTGTGGGATGGGTGGGTTAGAACGCAACCCCTTTGGCTCTCTGGAGGGGTCGGTGAAAATACTGGGCACCACTAAATCAGATTCTGTGAAAGTGGCCTGGGAATCTGCGATTTTTAACAACCATGTTTCTCCTGCACCCTGAAGTTGCAGTAACATCGGCCTAACAGCAATTCTAGGATGTAGGCAGGTAGATCAGGTGCCCAGGACCTGGCTTCGTCTATACTTGGCAGCTCCTTAAGAAGCGCTTGTTTAAGAAATGCTGGTGAGGGGTGGCCGGTTAGCTCAGGTGGTTAGAGCACAGACTCATAACACTAAGGTTGCCCGTTTGATCCCTACATGGGCCAGTGTGCTGCTCCCTTCACAACTAGATTGAGACAATTACTTGACTTGGAGCTGATGGGTCCTGGAAAAACACACTGTTTCCCCCAAAAATTTCTAAAACCAAAAAAAAAAAAAGAAATGCTGGTGAGAATGGTCACAGAAGCTCATTCTCTTTTTTTCATGTGGGCCAAATCTTCACATTTAAATTCTGATTTGTGGCTAAGACTATAATAATAAGGGTAAAGCAAGATTAAATTCCTCTTCTCTCATGAGCACAGAAAAATTCGATCTGCTGTGAGTTGACCCAAATGGGTCACATCTAATGGCATCCTCTGTTGTGCCTTTCTCTTCCAGCACCTGTCCCACATCAACAGCATCCTCAGAGCTCCCTGAAGGGATACACAGGAGCAGGCTCCTGGCCCCCTCCCTTCACAGCACAGCAGGGCCCGAGGGGTCCCCAGGCCACGGCCTCTGCTCAGGGTGACCAGCGTGGTCTGAAGGCCCAGACTCCAACCCCAACAGTTACCTTGGTCTGGATGACCTGCTGTGGGAAGTCGCTCATGGCGTTCGTCAGCCAGCCTTCCAAGCTCTTGGCAAAGTTGCGGATGGCCTGTGTCAGGGTGCCTGAGAGATCAAACCACGGCATTAACAGTGAGAAAGGCAGCACCTCGCCCACCAGGATCAGCACGGAGTGTAAGAGAGGCAAATGCAATGCAAGTTACCACCCCACACACAACACTGAGGAAAAAAGGATGACAGAATAGCACAGAGGAGGATGAGAATTCAGGACATGCAGTGAGGGAGGCCTGCAGTACAAGTCGGCCCATCCAGACCATCTGTCTCTGTTCATCTATCTGTCCACACTAGTGGTTCTCACTCAGGGCCATCCTGCCCCCAGGGACACTGGGCAATATCTGGGGATATCTGTGGTTGTCACCACTTGGAGGGGCTCCTGGCATCGAGTGGGTGGGGGCCAGGGATGCTGCTCAGCCCCATAAAGTGTCCAGGTGGCCTCCAACATAGTCATCCAGTCCCAATGTCGGCAGTGCTGAGGCTGAGAACCCCTGATACACATGCATGGAAATACGCTCTACCAACTTCCAAATGTATTCTGAGATGGCTTACAATAAGAAAAAAATAATAAGACTCTTTTAAAAAGTCCTCGAAATGTAAAAGTAAATGGACCCCAAGCTCAAACCTTAATATAGACACTCAGTGCACACTATACTAAATAGTTGTCCGGCAGACAAGGCCAGAGGAGAAAGTCAGCTGTCACACTGTTTCCCATTTTCTGGCACAAAAGCAGCAGACCAGTTCATTAAGAAAGACTGCTGCTGACACAGGTATTTATAGGTCACCTGCCAGGTGTAACCCATGGAGCACATGCAGTCATTAATCGAGAGCGAGGGCACGGTGCCCAGCTTCCTCCCCCTTCACTGGGCACACTGCAGGAGGGCCTGTAAATTAGGGGTCCCGGCCCGGCGGGCGCCCCTGGTGGTGGTGGTTGTCACAGACACTGGAGGCCCTGGAAGGTCCCCCAGGGGGTATAGCCATCAAGGTCCACGATTTTGTTTCTTTGTTTTCTCCTTTCATCGATTAAGGTCGCTGGAATCTGGACAAAATTCTGTAGAATCCACCCTTTGGTGCTATGGCGTCGCAGGGTTGGGAGAAAGCTGAGCTCAGCATTAGATCAACCCCGGGAGAAATGGGTTAAAACCCAATTCAGACCACCCCCAGGGCTTTCAGCAAATGCAGCCAGAGAAGGTCCTTGACCCCACCCTCTAGAATTTCCTCTGGGGATATCAGAGACTGGATGTGGCCTGGAACCCCACAGCTCTGGGCAGCAGCACCAACCTCTGAGCCCTGCCAGGCCCGGGCGGGCAGCCCTCACCAGGGCCACTGCCTGGGCCCCCCTCCTAGTCTCCCTGGGTCAGTGACAAGGGTGAGCATCTTCCAGGGGTGCCTGACCTGCTGCTCTCACTGGATTCTTGGCACCCCAAGTCTGAGAGGGACCCGACAAGGTGGCTGCAGGGACACAGGGACAAGAAGCGGGGAGGCAAAGAGGGGAGGGCTTACTGGGCACTGGCCGCAGCACATCTGGGATGAGGACCTCCACCAGGGCCTGGTAGAGGATGTGGTCGCAGCTCCTCATCCACTTGAGGATGGGGTCGCATTTACACAGAGACACCAGCTTGTCCTTTGGGAGGATGGTGGCTTCGGGGTTCTCGTCGCTGTAGGCAGATGGGGGAGATGAGGTAAGCTGCAGCCCCACAACTGTCTGAGGCCTGTGGAGTCATCAGTGCCTGTATTCCCCATGCAGGTCCACACCGTCCGTCCCCTGTGGCTACAGATGAGGTGACTTCTCTGGCATGTGGTCACCTCCAAAATCACTCACTCGAAACAAGTGACTGAGCAATGCGAATTACAGATCAACCATCGGGAGTACAAAAAACAACATATGCTCAAGAGGGGAGAGTGCTATTTCTTGGAAAGTTGACGCATTTGTCTGTGGGTCACAGTGTGGGTGCCACTGGGCCTGTCTGATGGGACGACGGCAGGTACCTGGCTGGTAGAGAGGCAGGGCCATCGCTGGAGAAGGCTTTAGAATTCCAGAAGGAAAGCCACAGCTTCTCAATGTAGTGGAACTGGAGGTTCATCACGACATCTAAAGTTGCCTAGGAGTAAAAATGACTTGTTAAACACACGAATGTGTATGCTAAAAAGTGCATGGATCACGTCATCAGGACCTGCCAAGCAAGCAGCCATGACATGGGCTGTGGGGGAGGGAGGGCCTTTTGACATCCAGAGACTACAGAGGGGATGGAAATGGACAGAGGGGCACCGTCCAGGGGGGAGATTCTATCTACTGCTTGGCCAGAGTGAGCCGGGACCGCTGTGTCATCGGGGACAACTGAGGATGTGTGAGCATTTGGTGGTTCTGGTGATGGGCCTGGAGAAGCATGCTTGGCTCTGCACCCAGGACTTGGGGGCACCGAGGCACCCGCTGAAGCCCCACAGCCCATGCGTGGGCTCTTCCCGGGGCTGCCCTGGAGGGCGCGGTCACCTCGCAGTGCCGCCGGTAGACCAGCTGCAGGGCCTTGACGTCATGTAGCGTGACACTCTCCTGCAGCAAGACGCTGCCCAGGTCAGGTGCTGGGAACTCCGGGAACACGTGGGAGACATCTGGGGGACGGAAACAGGGTTATCAGTGGACCTGCAGAAGGTCCACCCACAGAAGCCGGGCCGGGGGCCCCATGTGCTGGGGGATGCTGGCCAGACGTATCAGTGACTGCTCGACAGCCCTGGGGCAGTGTCTTGGCTCCCCTAAGCAGTCACACAGCTTTTGTAAGCTTTGGTTTTCTCAGGTACAGAATGGAGACAGCATTGTCACCATCTCCCCACCCCATACCCCCCCCAAACACACACACACACACACACACATGAAATATGCCAATAGACAAAGCATAGAGCCCAGGGCCAGGGACACAGCAAGTGCTCTCATCACCCCAGATCACCCCAGCACGGGGGCCACCCAGGGCAGTGCATCTGGGGACAAGGCCAGCCCAGTGGTGATCTCCCGGGCTTGACAATCTCTCCAGAAGACCCCAACACAGGAGGGCTCTGTTCAGGCTCAAAAAATACACTAAAATTACACCAAGGCCACTGATGTCTCAATGTGTGTATGCTTATGACGTGAATCCCAGAGACCCTCACTGGGCATGTCCAGGTGGCAGTCTCTGAGTTAGGATGCAATCCCTGAGCAGCGGTGGGGCCACCTGGGATGGGACTCTTTCTCTAGAGCGGCTCACAGGGAAGAGGTCTGCCCTGTGTGGGGGCTCTGGGAGAGGACAGACCCAGTTTTAGGGGTCCTGAGCATCTTGAATGTTCTAGGTAAGCAAGGAAGAGAACCCAGGAGGGCAGCCAAGTCCTGTTGCACCTCTGCGCCAACAGGTTTTTAAACAGGACATCTAGTCTCTCTGATGGGCATTTTATTTTATTTACTTATTTTTGTGGTATATTCACTTTATATATGAATTTTGGGGGCATATGCTGATTGTTCTAAAACCTCAGGGATGCCACAAAGGTTTATCTAGAACTTTCTATGTAATTGAAAATGCGTCATACAAGAAGACTGTTTAAAGCACCCCTTTAGGTACTGCTGGTGCTGAAACCCACAGGCACCCAGCAGCTCTGAGCAGACCCCAAGCTGTCACAGCGGGCCCTGCACCCAGGGTGGGGCGGTCCCCACTCACCTATGTACTGCTGGTGCTGCTGGCTCTGGGCGGCCATGGCCTGCTCTGGTGTGCTGTGCAGGCTGCTGTGCGAGCCACTGTCCCCAGGGCTGTCTGTCTTCTGGGCTGGCCGGTACCTGGGCAGGGGACACATGTGGCACCATGAGGCCCTAGCAACACTGCCCAGAAGGGGCCCAAGAGGCAGACAGCTGAGCAGGATGCGGTTTAATGTGTGCATGTGTGTGTGTATAATTCTTAAGTAATTATGGTCAAATACACATAACAAAATTTATCATTTTAACCATTTTTAAGTGTTTGGCTCAAGCACATTCATGCTGCTGTGCAACTATCCTCACCACCCATCTCCAGAGCTTTCCTATCTTCCCAAACTGACACTCTGTCCCCATTAAACACACACTCTCCAACGCCCACCCCACCCCCAGCTCCCACAATCTATTTCCCGTCTCTATGAATCTGACTCTTCAAGGGACCTCCTGTGAGTGGGATCACACAGTGTCTGTCCCTCTGTGTCTGGCTTATCTCACTGAGCATCATGTCCTCCAGGTTCACCTCTGACACGCTGTCATACGTGTCAGAACGTCCTTCTTCTTTATGGCTGGATCCTATCCCACTACATGTATATACTCCATTTTGTTTATCCGCTCATCTGCCATTGGATACTCGGGTTGCTTAAACGTGTATATAAAGAGGTTGCCAAAAAAAGGTATATTTTAAGAAAGGAAAAAACTGTATTAAAATTGTAATACAATGAATGACACTAGCATTCATTTGATTAACGCCATCTTTTGAGCGAACATCATACTACACATTGCTATCGTAATTCAATTCAACTTCGAAAAGTAATACATAGGTAACATCTCTTAAAATGTATACATTATTTTGGTACCCTCTGTATATATTTGAATGCTTCTCTCTTAGAAGACAAGTGAACTTCTTTACATTGAATCACAAATACCTTACCATTGTATGGTCTTGAAGGGAATTCTGAGACTGTCCTTTTCCCTGAGCCAGAAAGCAGTAGACAGTGTGTGCGGGCAGCAAACTGGGAGACATGAACAGAGAAGGGCTTACGAGCCCAGGGGGGACACTGCCAGGTAGTGTGTGGCAAGAAGGGTGGGTGTGAGGGTCCCTGCCTGATCTGGGAGTGCCTTTATTTGTGGAAAGGGGGGTCAGGCTCACTGTGAGGAGGAAGAGATACCACTCAGATGTGTGCAGACCACCTGACTTGGGGATGGTTCCAAGTGTACATGGCACAAGCCTGTCGCCATGAAATGTGTGCACGCGCTGCTAAAATAATACACTGCCTGGCGTATAGATCCACAGGTGTTTGCAGGGGCTGAAACCAAACAAGAAGAAGCTGTCGAGTCCATGTCTGTGGAATAACCAGGGTCAGGATGGACTGTTGGTTCCATTCTGATGTGTTGGCTCCTGGAGAACATTCCAGAGACTCTCTTCTGTGACCTCCACTCCTGTGATTTGGCCATGTGGTTGGGAGTCACTGGGACACTTTAGAGCAGCTGAAAAGGGGTTTTGAGCCACACAGATTGGCTGATCCATGAAGGTGCCATGTGGGGCTGAAAGGGGCACAGTCCCTGCCCTGGAACAGCCTGGACTCTGGAGAGGGAGTCCAGGACACTGGGAAGCTGCCAGGGAAGTGACATTCCAGTGGGAACCTGAACAGGGTAAACTATAGCTTAGAGGGCTAGTTCTGCCATTTGTTTTGTAAATAAAGTTTTATTGGCACACGGCCATGCCTGCTTGGTTGCTGATCACCCCTGGTGGCCCTGGGTTACAGCAACAGACTAAGCAGTCACTCTGGCTTGCAAAGCCCAAGATATTTGCTCTCTGGCCCTTTACAGAAAAGTTTGCTGACCCCTGCCTCAAAAGATGAGTAGGTTTGTGATGGGTAGAGAACATTCCAGAAAATGGCCAGGCCTTTCCAGCCATCAGAGCAAAATGTCAGGAAGAAGCAACAACTTAAGTCTATAGGCTTCTTTCTCCTGGCTTCTTGGGTTATTTTCAGTGCTCTGTCTTTTGTTCCTGGTAGTTGCAATGTGAAGATCTGGTATACCAACTCTGTGACACTCTGGAAAAGGCAAAACTATGGGGAACAGCAAGAAGATCAGGGGATGCCAAGGGCTGGAGGAGGGAGGGATGAATAGGTGGGGCACAGGGATTTTTTTTGTTTGTTTTTTTTTAGCTGAGCCATCCTGCCAGCTGTTGGCAGCTCAGCAGCAGCTCAGCTCGGGCCAGGAATCAAACTGCTAGCAGCTCGGAGCTCGCACTCTTGAGCGAGCTCTTAACCAACTGAGCCACTCGGCTGGCCCCACAGGGGCTTTTTAGGGCCGTGAAACACTCTATGATACCATACTTGATGGACACATGTCATGATACATTTGTCCAAACCCACAGAGTGTACACCAGGATGAACCCTAGTAAAAACCATGGACTTGGGGTGACAATGACATGTCAATGCAGATTCAATTGTAACAAATGCACCACTCTGGTTGGGGATGTTGACAGTGGGGGAGGCTGTGCGTGTTGTGGGGGAGGTGGTACATGGGAAATCTCTGTACTTTTAACTCAATTTTGCTGTGACCTGAAAGTGCTCTAAAAAATAATGTGTATATTTTTTAAAAAACAGAATGTTCTGGAAGCTATTAGCTGGGTGAGGCTAAGTCCTCAGCCCCGAGTCCTGCTGGCCTCCCTTCAGGCCAGTGGAGGTGAATGCCTTGGTTCTCCCAGGACACTGGAGACTGAGGTTCATAGGTCTCCACCGTAGGATAGGAGTCCCCTTGCATGGATGGATTTAATGTTTGAGAAACACCCTCCCCACATTCTCCCTAGGGAAACCCAGGCCCCGTGCCCTTCCTCAGGCCGGCCTCAGCCCTGGTCACCCACCTGGGCTTCTGGTGCACAGGCTGTTGCCGCATGGCCATGTACTGGGTGTCCTCCTGCAGCCGGTTCAGGGGTGAGTCTGGCTTCAGACGAATCCCATAGTAATGATACTTGGAGTTGCCCCTAGAAACCAAACATCCAGGTCAGCTCTCTCTGCAGATATCCTGAAGGACAGGTGGTGCTGTCTTGGTCCTGTAACTTGGGCCCTGGGGTTCAGTATTCCCTGGACGATGTGGGAAATGCTCACAGGCTGTTCCATGTCCAGAGAGACTGAAGAAATTCTACACAAGACCTCCCCCCCTGGAAGGTTCCCCTCTTGCATTTTAGTATGATAAAGGCTCTGAAAATTCCTGCAGTGAGAAAACCAGTCTTATGTCTATGTTCTGTAAGGACGGTCTCTATCAAGGAAAAAAGGTGGCAGAGGACAGAAGGAGACTCACATGTTCTCTTGGCCAGGATGCCGGCTTCTGAGAGTGCACGAATGAACCCCGACCCCCACTTCTGTGTGACGTCACTGAGTGCAGGCACCAAGTCTGGCCTGCCAAAAATCACGGCCACGTGTGCTCTAGGCCACCCACTTTGAATACAGTGTGACCACCTTTTTCTAGTAAGAGAGGTGTTTGCGTTATTGCCTGAGATAAGTTTATGGCACATGATGTTCCCTGGATGCTGTAGGCCAAGAACAGGCCGTGGCAGAACTGGTCCAGGTATAGCAAAAAGCATCAAGAAATAATAAATCCAACTCTCCTAGACAATCCAGAGGCCGCTTTTTAAAAAGCCCATTATTATGGGAAATTTCAAACAAGGAGAGAGAGCTGGAGCGAACCCCCATGTGCCGTCACCAGGAGAGAACCCGACCACAGTGCACGCCCCGGCCCAGGCCAGGCCCATGCTGCCGCCAAGTCAGGGCAACTCCACATTCACCTGGAAGCATGTCAGTCATGTGTGGGCAGGAGGAGGAAGCCCCACATTCTCCAAAAGCTGGATTTCTGTTTAAAGGGAGAGGGAGGACGGGTGGATGTGAGGGCTGCTGGACACGCCCCCTTACCCACCTGGTGCCCAGCCTCCGTGTCCTCAGGCCCATAAACACCGAGCGGATCAGTTTCCCAAAGGAGGCAGCATTCACAGGGTCCAGCTTGTGTTCCTGGCAGTGTCGAAGATAATGGTTGTAAAGAGAACTTCGGGGGAGACTGACGCCTTCGGCAGTTTCGTAATTATCTAACAGCCACTGGAGCTGGAGAAAGAAAGACATGTTTCCATTTGTCAAAATCCCACCAAACACCAAAATGCTAACGTGGACTCATTAAGAGAATCACATGCTTTCCCTCCACTAATGTGACGAGGAAATTCATTGCTATTGTCATTGATTTGGGTCCAACAGATTCTGGACATATTGTTCCTTCAATTTGCAGCCTGGTCTTCAGGCTCCTTGACTTAACTGAGAAAAACTTGCATGGATGGAAACCTCATAGAATCTGTCTTTATAAACATTTAAACACCCACATGCCCTGCACGCCGTTAAAACACCAACTGTCTACTAAACCTACGGGAACGGAGATCAACTCTGATAACAAGAGGACAGCCAAGAAAACTCATGGACCTGTGAGCACTGTGCCCCACCCGCATTAGCATGGTGGTCCATGGAGACGGACTGCTATCTCCTGCAGGCCCCGAGCGGAGCACAGACCGAAACCCAGTGAAATCCTTAAGAGGCTAATGTGCCAGGTGCTCTGCTCAGAACAAGGCAGGAAAAAGAATCGAAGGCTGAAGTCGTTGCCCCCAGAGGTTGGCATTGAGTTGGAAGGGCAGGAGCTGTCCTCGTAGAAAGCTAAGTCCCCAAGTGGGGCAGTGCGCAGATGAAAGCCCCCTGCCTGGGAACCCCTGAGCACAGTGCCCCAAAGGCTTTGATTCTGGCTTCCACTCTGCTGTGTTAGCACAAAAGGCCTGACCCGTGCACGGGCTTTGGGGACAGGCAGGAGCCATATGCACAGGATCCTTACTGGGGCAGGATCGCTGTGGGGGGTGGGGGGGTCTAAGTCACCACTACTTAGTTCCCACTAAGTCCAGAGCTCTGAGGGGTTCCCTGCTGGCCCTGATCCCCTCTGTGGTCCTGGTGTGCTGGGCTCCTGCACCGCCCCATGCCCTTCACATCCTTCCCAACCCTGAGTGAGCATCTCCCCTGGGACATTGGCACCCCCACCCCCCACCTATGACCTGTACCCCACTACACTCCACGCCCCTTTGTGGTCCCAACCAGGCAGCATGCAAGCTGGGAAGTCAGTCTGCGCATTCCTTTGGAAAAAGATTTATTATGGAAAGCTTCTAACATGCACAGAGGTAGTGAGAATAGTCTAAGAAACTCCTGCCTCAATAGGCATCAGCCTGCGGCCATTTTATTTCGTCTAAGCCCCACCCACAGCCTTCTGCCTGTCCTAGGCCATTTTAAAATGAACCCCTGATGGCCCTTCATTTCATCCCTGGGGCCTCCCCGCTCACATGTGGGCCTGAGAGGCAGGGGGTGGGCATGCTGGATGTGCAGGATGAAGGTGGGGGAGGAGGGTAAAGATCCAGGACTGACAAAGCAGAGGGTCTTTTAACAGAAAGACAAACATCGGGCATCAAGAAGGGAAGGGGTAGTGGGCTTTGCTTAGGGGAGGAGGAGGTTAAGGTCTAGGCTGGTGTTTGGGGCAGAGGTTAAGACCAGATGTGTAAATCTGGCACCAAGGGGCCAAGGACAGGGTCTCGGTGCGGGGGCGGGGGTGGTGGTGTAGAGGGGGTTTATCATGCATGGGCACTGCCTTTGCGCAGGGGCTGAGGAGGAGGGAGCATGTGCTCAGGCCTGAAATGAAGGCCCAATATTATGTGCTGCCTTGACACCCACGGAAACCAGGAGAGGTCCCCTCCCCATGCTGCTCCTGCAGTGAAGTCTCTTAGCCACACAGCCATCTTCACCGAGGGGCTGAGCCTGCAGCCCCTGCATGTCTCTGAGGAGTGAGTTTGAACCAGGGGCTACCCCACCCTCTTGTCACTACAAAGCCTCCCATACATAGTTGGCTGTTCACTCTGTTCCTGAGTGCACCCGAGTGTGGCCCGGTGAGGCCTACACAGTCCTCCTCCCCTGGGCTGTGAGTCTATGTGACTAATAATAAACAGCTGTCCACTCCGTCTAGTGTCAGGTGTCATGTGTTCAGCCATCCCTGTAACCCTAGGGTGGGAATAGCCCTCACTGACAGGGTGACGTGAGACAATGACAACAGGGAGACAAGGAGGAGGATGCAAAGTGACAGTGCGAGAAGGTGGCAGCCATCAAGGGCAGAGGGCTCTGGGCAGGGCGGCCGGCTGTGTGAGACGAGCCCGAGGTCAATGGGAAATCAGAAAGGTCCCTGAAAACAGACTCATCTTCTCCAACTGTCCCTTTGGGTAAAGAACATCATATTTTCACTTTCCATCAAGTCATTCAGGCCTTTCATTTTCAAACTTCCTGGAAACGTGCTTTTCTGACACAGGCAGCACAGACCTCCCTTTTCCCTCCAGAGTTTCACACTGGCCCAGGGCTTGGAGCCTTAGGAACCGTCTCCTCAGTCCTCCCTTGTCCCTGACCTCTGTCTCCACATTTGCACCCCCAGGATCTTAAAGGTGCCCCCAAAAACACTGACCAGAGAATATAGGGTCCCAAAGAGCAAATGGGACCCCAAGGTGCTGCTTCTTAGCAAACCCTCCATGGGTGGGAGAAGCCAGGAGCCACGTGATGACACTGATCCTGGCCCCCAAGGGTGAGGCAGGTTCTGTCAGCGGCAGTCTGGACAGGGCCCTGGACCAGGGGTCCTGAGCGATGGAGGCTAATATCTGGCCTATCGCTTAACGCGACTGGCTGATATATAAAAAGAAAGGTTTGGGAAAGGTGATTCCTTCCCCCCAACCTGGTGTTATTTAAATTATAAGTAGCCATCTCTGTTTGGGTGATTCTGTTGAGTTGACATCAAGGTCATCATGATATCAAGGGCACATGGTCATCTTCCTCCTAAAGTAGAAGTGGCTACAGAGAGAACTGACACCACTAACAGCCTCTAAAAGCATAACTTTCTCTTTTTTGCCTCAAGGAGTTACTAGGAAAAGGGAAACTGATTGAAGAAGCTGAGGGAGGGAGCCATTGGAGAAGTGTTTCAGGCAGAGGACACAGCCTGTGCAAAGGCCCTGAGGCAGGACTGTACCTGGTGTGTTAGAGGAACAGCAAGGAGGCCCATGTGACTGGAGCAGAGTGAGTGAGGTAGAGAGAGGGAGGAGGTGAGGACAAGGAGGGGATGGAGGAGGAGTCAGGGAGGTCATGCAGGGAACTTTGGGTCATTTCCATGACATTGGCTTCTACTTGGAGGGAAATGGGGGCCCTGGAGGCTTCTGAGAAGAGAGGTGCCAGGATCTGGCTTAGGTTCTAGTAGGATCACTCTGGAGACTGCCATGAGAAGGGCCTGGAAGCTGAGGGCTGGTTAGTATGTGGCCTTGACAATCCACGGGAGAGATAGGAGTGGTGGTGAAGGTGGGAGAGGTGGTCTGATTCTAGATCGTTCTGAAGGTGAGGTCAAGAGCATGGGGAGGTGAGGCCCAGGAGGAGGCAGGAAGCAAGGATGAGCAGGGGAGATGGTGGGTGTGGAGATGGGGGAGGGGTCCAAGTGTTGATGCACTTGAGGAAACAGCTGTCCTGCCAGAAGCCAGGTGGGGTGGGGATACTGAAGTAACAGTGGTCCAGCCAAGGCCACTGCTAGAGGCATTTGCCACAGTAATTTGGAGCAACATCTGGACAAGTGACCCATCCTGTAAGTTGCTGCTCTGGCCAAACAAACCCCAGCTGGTCTGCAGGTGACAGCTTTGTCATCATGCCAGCCTATGGTGGGCCACCAGCCGAAGGATAAAGGGTCTTTGACAATTTGGGTTTCTTGATTAAAAAGCCATATAACCTGAATATAATTTATCTAAAAGCAGGTCTTCCTCCCAGGATTTGGAAATAATGAGAGTTTGTTTTAGTAGACAGAGGCCACCTCCCTGTGACAATGACTCAGTGAACCACTGTGGGGTCTCTGAGTCCACGAGGGTCAAGGTGGGGGGCTTCTGCAGCTGGGATCTGGGGACAGTAGGGTGGCAGCCCTGTGGGGAGCCCGGGCACCTCCAATGTGTGGAGCTACAGACCTTGATGGAGGCTTCCCCAGGCTGGACAGCATGGTTGCTGCACCCAAGCGGAGGCCACAGTGACACCCCAATGGGGAAGGAGCTTTCACCCCCAGCACCAGCTTCTTCACCTCCTTCCTCTGAAATAACTATCCTGTTTTCATGCCACCAGATCACACCCGTCCCCATGTTAAAGACCACTCGAGGCCCACCTCCTCCAGTGGGGGTTTCCGCATCAGGCTGGAAATTTCCCTTAACCTGAGGATCCCCTGGGTCTGGGCCCCCCTGAGGGCAGCATGGGAAGCACCTGGGGAACCCCAATGTCAGCTGGCTCTGGAAGGCACTGTCCAGCCTTCCTGGGTTCTGGGCATCACACCACCCACGCCCACCACAAGACAGCACACCGGGAGGAAACAAGTCCCGGGAAGACAGTGACAGATCCAGAGGTAAACCTCTGCGCTGGGTTCCTGGGCAGACTTAGGTTTGTCTGGGTGGGTTTTCTCACACCTGCCAAACTCTTGCCCTTACAGTCCAAGCTCCCCAGAGTGATTTCTTCTTGTTCCCTTTTTCCCCATACTCAGCACAGCCCCGGTGCTGGGGGGGACACTGTGACTGAGGCCTGGAAGGCCACCAGGAGAACCAGCCTGCAGGGCGCCCCCCAGTCAGGCTCATCTGCCCTAGGTTTGGGCTGACAGAGAAGCCAGGACTGTGGCCAGCACTGCCTGACACTAGAGCAATCTTAGCTGTGGACAGCTCCAGTGACAACTGTCATGAGTGGGTATGGCCAGCCAGCCACAGGGCCAGCTCAGCCAGCTGTGACCATGACAAGTATCAGCAGGGCACACTGCCCACTTGTGAGGCAGGTCACAAGCTTTCCCTCTCCCCTTCCTCCCGCTCTCACATATACAAGACTTGGTGTGCATGGTTGACTCTCTAGAAAGATCCTCTTTCCACTCCCTTTGACTCCAAATCGCCAAGCCCAGCTCCTACTCCTCAGGTCCTGATGGAAGGAGGCGACCTAACCATAGATCACCAGGGAGAAAATGGACACAGAGGTTTTCCTGCTCGGAAAGTCAAGTCAGGAATGTAAATGGGCGGGGAAGCAGCCAGGAATGTCTGCCTCCCAGAGCAAAAGTGTTAGAACACCAGGAGCAGACCCGCAGCCAAAGACCAGCAGCTCATGCGTTTCCCAGACATTTCAAATTAGCCGGACATGCACGCTGCCTGCCTGGGGCATGCGCCCCCATCCTGCCTTCCTCACACGCCTCTCCCCAGGGCTGACCGAGCGCCAGGCTGCAAGCTGTGACGTGTCCACGTGTGTCTGCTGACAGCTGAAGAACACCTGCCCCTGTTGAAGAGACTGTCATTCTACAGATGTTCCTATGCAGTGCACTCTGAGTTTAAGACTGGGAGGAGGTGTCTTCCCTCTAAGCACTCCCAGATGTGTCCACGGGGTGACATCCAGGGTGGCCACGACCCATCTAGCCTAGAGGTGGTGTGGGCACTTAGCAGGGGCCCAA